AACTATAACAAAATTGTTAAACTTTTATTTCCATTATAATAATCCTAAAACCAGGATGACATTCGTTAAGCTATAATTTTGGAATTGATCGACATGGTGTTGTGAGTTTATAAAGCCTTTTCAAAAACTCCAAGTAAAATTCGAAAGATCTCAGCTTTGTAACAAGTTTCCTAACATTATTCAGTTACTGTGGATTCGAAATTCATTCAGTAGCTTAAATGTTTTTAATTCCAGTTGATTCCCAATATTATTCTACAATGATTAGTTAATATTAAATGTGGAGTCAGTTTAGATATTAACTAATTTGATTTCATACTAATTGTAAATTGTTTCTGTCCCTTTCATTAATAAGAATTTGAGAAATTCTTTTCCAGGCTGGTCAGTCTGTATCATAAGGTTTCGTTGAAAAAATATAGCAACTTTGCCAGTTAAGTAACTTGATGTAGTAAAAATCACTAATTCTCATTCAAATACCTATTCTAATTAAGAATAACAAATAAGCTAGAATTTTGTTCTATTTAGCCCCTGGAATTGTTTGTTTCTATTTTCGGAAAAAAAAACGGATGTTTGAAAAAAGCATTCAATACTTTCTGTAAACAATTAGAAAGTTGAAACATCTAATATGAGGTTGATTTTTAAAGTGGTATTTGTTAATAACTATTCATTGTTAACAAGTTATGAACAGTATTCAAGATCTCATGTTAACCAACAATAAAGTTTATTCTGAGAAATTTTACTGGTTATATGTATTACATGCATAAAACAGAGATCATTTGATCTTTATCTCTCTCTCTCTTTGTGCAACACGAAGACAATATTTAATGAATTTAATCAATTGGAACATAATTTTATTGAAAGATGTGATCTTACTTAATTTTATTTAAAAATTTACCATAATAGACACTCGTTATTACGTGTGGTCTTATAACATTGAATTTTCATTGACATATCAAATTACAAATTGAATGAATACATCAATATATGTGCATTAGAGATTGATCAATGTGATTCGAAATATTGCAAACAGGAAATTTTGAAGTCTTACAGAAAAATACTTTTTAATAACAACTGATTATTTGCAGAAACTCGATAGTATTGCTGATAAGAAAATGGTATTTGATTTGATCGATACAAGACTGGAGTTTCAAATAAATGTAACCAACGAATCCAATGAACATACATTCGATTGGTACAATGTTGAAAGCCTGGATAGAGGGATTACAAAGAACACTGGAAAATTGTTAGAAGCTTAGCACTCAAGTCAATCAGCCATCAACAAATACGTTGAAACTGAACCAAATTATCAACTATTTAGAAAAATCATAGGCAAACATTGGATCAAGAAACAGATCAAAGAGGGATACGATCAAAATAAGATTGCAAACGACAGGTTTAAGGTCAATAACAACCAATTAGGATCGAGGTCAAAAGAACAAGCTATGAGTCATATGTGGAGAAATTCGAATACTTCACTTTTATCTGAAGTCTTTGCTGATGATGTTGTTTACAAGAGCAGTGAAAGCTCCACAACCAATGAATCCTTAAAACGAACATGGGTTATGGATAACTATTGGTTGTTATCCATTAAAAAATCCACACGCAGTACATAACTATTGGTAATATCAAGCCATTCAATTTGGATTTTAATTCGTTATAAATGTTTTTACGTGATAGAACTTTAAAATTATTCATATATTATGTGAATAGGAAGTTTATTTATTTTACAAAGTATTCATATCAAAGAATAAAGGCTATTAATATACATAGATAGAAAAAGATACTTTAATCCTAAATTAAATTGGCTTAACACAATGCTATTCACAATTAAACATACATGTTTCATGTAATAAATTCAGACATTTTACTTACGTCATTAATATATATATATATATATATATATACAGACATCAAAAATTTAATACTCTCAGAAAATTGTTCTCTATATTTAATACATGTAATTCAACACTAATCTTAAATTTAACACGTCTGAACTAGTTTAAAACAATATTGTATGTAGCTTAACCAATAGACAAAAATCGAATATAAATGAACATGAAATTTATCACTTGTTAAGCATGAAATTTGACATGTGTATCTTTATTAAAGCCATAAAATGTTAGATTATACGTAAAAAAAGCCAAGCAAACACTGACTATTCAAACTTGAACTATACATGCCAAGATGGGAAACTCAATACTCAAACTTGATATTATCACGTTTTAACTAACTTACCAGTGTAAAAATATGAGTAAAAATAAAACAAAACAACTGGGACAAAACAAACGAAAATATCTCTGATTTAGAAAAAAAAATATTATGCATGATTTTATTACTTACGCATTGTGATTGAAATCCTTTATTCAAAAGATGATCACCCATATAAATTGTACTCTAGAAGTTTACTCAACTACTTTTTTTGTGTCAAATAAAATTTTTTCTCAATAAAAAATTAGAAAAGCCTATCAGATTGATGTAGTTGAACACATATGATTTTGTAATAAATCAATATTGTGAAAGTTTACCTACAAAATGTTTATTGGTTATTACAAAGTAATTTATTTTCTGATGTATATAACAAATTGCTGATAACCAATCAAATTCTATGCGAACACCACGAAGATAACAGGTAATAATAATGTTGTTCATAAGAATAAGGATATAGAGCATTGTAAGAATATCATGATGACAGTTTAATAAAACTAATCACAATCCCTACTGATTTTGATACAATCTGATTTGTTTTCTGTAATAAAAAAAATATCATTTTCTGTCTCAAAAGGAAAAAAAGGGCAATGTTAATCTTGAAGGTTTTAAACATCTAGAGATTCTAGGTAGTTAGTTGTATTAAATATCAATTATTTAAATTTTTTTTACATAAAATTGAAAATTTTATCAATAATATCTAGCATAATTACAAAAATGATAAATTATTAAAACACGTAATATTTATTTTACAAACCTTCATCATTGATCATACATAGCAAATAATGGTATTTTGATGATATTTACTGTTGATGATTTTGAGGAAATCCTATCTTGATTAGGTAGGTAGGTATGTATGACACAGTCAATTTGATAGTATATAATTTTTAAAAATAATAAGCTAGCAAAAAGTTTTCTTTTATATTACAAAGTAAACGTTGTATTTACAATTTCAATGTTAGTTCAATTTCTACAACTTTAATTTGAAGAGAAAGTATGTGTATGTATACATAATCATGCGCGCATACGCATAAACAATATGCTTAACCAACAAAACATAAAGTGAACAAAAGATGTTATACAAAATACACTGTAGATTATATTAATAACTGACTAATGATATAGAATAATACAGAAGTACAAAACTTGTGGTAAATATCAGTGTGTATGCTGATTAAATAATTATGTCTATCATTATATTTAAAATCTATGTAGGCCAAAAGACTTTTTGTCTATTTCAGTTAAGATTTGTTATCATTATTATTATTATTATTATTCTGCTGTTGATTTTTACAACTGATCTATGATGATATTGATAGATGTGTAATACGTCACAAACTGAATAACAAAAAATTTGACATCAGGTTAATATTCAAGGTGAAATTTTTCAAAAGAATTTTAAAGCAAACAGATAAGTATTCATTCATTTTTAAGAAACTTTATCAGATTTGATATTATTTTTCAGTAATATGCGAAAATAATTCACCATAGTAAACAGATTTTTAGTTGTCACAGTATGTTATAAAAGGCCTAATTAATTGATATTACCTAACTACCTAAATTTATTTATTTGGTCACATTTTAAATCCTCAAATAACGGTTTATAATCAGTGTTTAAACCATTAAGGTATCTGTAGGTAACATTTCGTTCTCAATCAATTGAATAAAATGAGGTAGAAGTCATCTCGCAAACGTCTGATGAAACTGCAAAACCGTTCAATCATCACTTTACTAAACGTAGATCTTTTTGTCAAGATTATATTCAAGTTTAGAATAAATTATTTAACTCAGAAAATCAGTTACCACAATACATAAACATTGTTTGAGTCTGAATGTTTGACTTAACAATAAAATCTCAATGTTAATGATGGTACCAATCTAGGTTTTTGAAATTGTGAATGAAAAGTCGAGCTTATATCGTTGTTACAAGGTTAGTCAATCAACGAAAATCAATTGTCAATGATCTTGTAGTTTACTTTATTCCTCTATGTATGAAGGTATGTACGTAAATACTCTCTTTTCCATGTAAGACAGAACATAGGAATCTAATTTATTCAAGATTTAATACCGATGAGAACAAATTAAAACCAATTTACTACAGATTACGGAATAAATAAATAAATTCGTTCTAAATTTATTCATTAAACTTCTTAAGCGGCTGAATAATAGCATTAATAGGACTCACCTAGATTTTGGACATTAGGAATGTCTAGTTTACCGAACGTCTAATAGATATGTAAAACGTTAAGTATACTAATAATGACTATTTACTTAATTTTAGACGAAAAATCTTGATATTCATGCGAATATTAAGATATTTACATAAGGATTAGGTTTTCTAGGACCGAATTAAGTATAATAATCTCATTGCTATCAATCTTATTCAGTGATGGGCCAAACTGGGATGGATTGGACAGACATTTTATTTTGATTTGAGACATCAGAGTTGTAACCACTTACTCTCTAGTATTTAATGATTCTCCTCAACTGACATCAGTTTGTTGGTGAAAAAATATTTGTATGTCAAATTAGATTCTTTCATAATATTTTTCCAGCATCATGCTAAGTAATCGGTTCTTTTTGTTTGATTTATTTCCACCCACTCATGTTAATATTACCAAATACACTGGATTGAAATCGGTAATTTGTAGAGTTTAGAGAAATACCTGTGTTTCTTTGATTTCATCACAATCGAAGGTATCTTTAAACAGTTACAAATCATAGTGTTTATTGACTCGAGTATTATTAAACACGCTTACAGTTTAATTTTGAAAAAAAAAAAGTAGATGGAAACTTACATGCTGACAAATTTTACATTTATAGCCTTTAGCTGGAGGATGATAAGAAGTAGGACCATTTGGAACAGACAGTATGGATGATAAAGAACCTTCACCATTACATATACCATTAATTGATAGATTTTCCTCTTGATTAATTCCGAGAAATCTTGATTCTACGCGCACATTACCATTGTTACCATTATTGTTATTTGTAGTATTACTATTATTTGCACTGTTATCTTCTCTTTGACTGGTTAATGCATCATCCATGACCATATCTGATGAACGTCGATCTGCTGCGATTGTATTTGTGGACTCTGGTGAACATTCTGCAGCTCTTAGAGTTGAATTTCTGAAAATTAAATTGTTAATTCGATCTTGTTGTGGTCCAGACAATAATCGATTGTTGCTTTTATTCAATAAATTGGTATTGCCACGGCTTGTTTTATTTGTATGATCAATGCCTGTATTCGATTCATTTGTATTCGGATTTTCTAATGAATCTGAAAGAGGACTTTTCGGTGAAAATATAAATTGTTGTTGTTGTCCATGAGAAATTGAATAATTATCGTTGTTTGAATTTGATCTTCTTGTATTGTTACTATTATTATTATTAGTATTAGCTGAATTTTGCTCATCCAAATGTTTACTGCTTGTAGGTGTTGAATTATCTCGTATTTCATTGTTCAGTGTTGCTTGAAATTGTGAGTGATCGATAGTACCACCACAGCTGCCACCACCATTGGCACCACTGCTCCCACCAACTACAGCGGCAGCAGCTAAAGCAACAGCCGCTGGATTACCCAAATTTTTCAAATGATGACAGTGTAAGTTATACGGAGTTATTGTATCAGTTTGTAGCTTATTACAATTCATCGATGTGATCGCTGATTGCTGCCTATTTAAAGCATTTGTTACACTTGATTGTAGTTGAGTCGAAAAATGACTTGGCTTAGCGAAACCATTGCATAAATTATCTAAAACCATATCATTTGTATTGGAATTTCTTAAACTAGACTGTACATGACGTGGGACTTGTATACCGTGTGATAAAGATAAGCCATTAGGATTGCCAAGTGTAGAATCATTTGCACCCATTATAGCTGAATTAGCTGCAGCCGATGCAAAAGCAGCGATTGCTGCAGCGTGACTATTTGAACCAGCTGTTGGATCATTATTATTATTACTGGGATCATTTAACTGATCATTTAATCCATTTGAGTTGGTAGTGTCTTGATGTAGATGGTTAACATTACCACGAGCTGGTACAGAAAGTAAACGATGTGATGTAATGTGTGCACGTGTGTGATTTATTGATGGAGAATGATTCGGATGACGGTTACCATCATTATTATCACCTGTTTCATGATCTTGCGTTATATGGCGTGCTTCATTTAAGCCAACATGTTGATGCGGAAGTATATGTGACATGTGCGCTGCGTGAGCACCAGAATAAGAGAATCGTTGACAAAAACTTTCAAAAGGATCTTCAATCATACCAGGTATTGTAGCAGATCCGGAACCTGTGTATGATACACTTAACATATTGGAACCAGGTACAGCGCTCATTGCTCCAGCACTTGCACCCATCATAATTGGTTGTGCATGTGCCCCAACTGCAGCATTCGCTGCAACAGCAGGATAACTTGCCCATGGCCACAGAAATAATCCAGTTCTTGTCCGTGGATCAGTACCACTTACATCCATCATGAGTTCAGATTTGATTTAGAGATTTTCGTTTTGTTTACTTCTGCTCTCAATAATAAAATCAATATAGGATAGAGAGTGACTCAACAGAAACATAAATACGTTAGAATACTAGGCTTGTATTGAATATTACCACCGGATTTCAGAATACAACTATTTTGTTTGATACATTGAACACCTGATTGTATCTGTTAGAGTTAAATGTGGATCGAACAAATAAAAATATTAACAGCAATAGTAATAACAGTTATTATGGTACTGAAATCAATGTCTTTTGGTTCCATAGAATAATGCAGTGACATTCGAAGTACACTCTTTGTGATAAGATCATATACAATGAATAAATTGGCAATAATTGTCAGATGTGTAGAGCAACAACACTAGTAGCAACAATAAAAAATAAACAAATAATTGTTTGTCAGTCAAGCTTATTCCATACGAGATGTGCAGAGTTCTAATGGGTTGTTGGTATTTGTTGTGGTAGTAGTACAGAAAATAGCAACCAACAAAATGTTTTTAAAGTGAAATAGTTTTTATAATGTCTGTGTTTATTGTAATGATTTCATAAATAGATATGGAAGTGGAGTGACAACGTTATAGGTTTTGCATCAAAACACTACACAAACATAAAGAGTAATGATAGTAGTAGTAATGGTTGTAACGATGATACCAGTCCAATGTTCGCCAGACGATGCACGCAGACAAATCTAACAAATCAGGATAGGGATACCAACAAGCTATCTGTACGTAGGCGACACTAGTTCCGATAGCAATAGGTTCTCACCAATATATCCTGCGTTTGTCTACCATTAGTGTGACAGCCAATCAGAGAAGAGAAGAATGAAACCTGTGCACATGAGTTTTTTCAATTGGCTGTCTAGAAATTGAGGCAATCTAAAAGCGTGTCCTAATAGAATATTTTCTCTCTCTCTCTATGAACTAACAATGAAATATGGACGGATAAACTAGAAATAGGACATCAACAATTGCGATACATTAATATCATCAAGGCCAATAAGAGCTTGTTCTAGACATGCCACACACAATAACAACTCGGTTTTTCCACTCATTTACTCACTATTTGTTTGTTTCTGTCTGTTTGTTTTTGTGTTCACAATGTTATTCTTTTATTTAGCTTTGCTGGTGCATTCGATTCAGTTCCTTGTTTTATTCGTCTACTAAATGACAACTTAACTGTGATTAAAAAGTATGAATTGTGATGAGACCTGATACATATAGTCCTTAGTCGATAAGATGTTGGTAAATATATTGTTTACTGCTACAAACCGAACATACATTTCTTTCATCCAAGAAATCTTACTATCATCAACTAATATACAATTTCTCAAGACTAGTTGTTTTAGTTATGCGGAGAGCTCGTTAGAACTCTTACAGTGTGTTGAAATTTTGATAGTATATCAAATTAAGAATATATTTTATAACTGAGAGACATGAATGCTCGATAGAGGTACAGATAAGCTTCTATTAATGTTGTAAATACTTCTACTATTCTAAAATATGGCAATATTATTTCATCTTACCGTACTACTAATACAGTGTGACGGCTGATTTAGTATCAGGTTCTACAGTGCAAATAACTGAAAACCAACTAGTGGACTTACATCATATTCATTTCATTACAATATGATTACATCTATCTACCTTAATCTAAAAAAAAATATGGTTAAAATTTTGATGTTGTTTTATCCAACAATATTTCTATTCTTTTCATTTCTTGTTGCGATAAATCCTTTCATCCTCTATGTAAGATGAACGTGCGGTTCATTTCTGACAAGTTTATTTTTTATATAACTCCATTTTCATTTATATCTATTGTACACTTTTAACATTTGACTAATATGACATTTTCCAGGGGATAAGTCATAATACTATCAACCAGAGGTAGGCATAATCAAAGCAGTCATTTTCGATAGTGACAGAACAGCAACTGAGGCAGAATAATATGAACTTTTGTGATGTTTTCTGCCCCGTTGTCCAATGTTTCTTGAGTTTCAGTTTCATTTTGGCGATCTGTAAGTGGTGATCTGATACTATATCAGCTCCTCTCTTGATTCTCACGTCCTCCATGGTCCTTCTGAAATGTTTATTGATGCAGATACGATCGATTTGGTTCTGTGTAGTGTCATCCAGTGAAAGCAATGTGTTATTATGAATACATTTATGGGGGGAATATGGTGCCACCTATAACCATTTTGTTGAATTAACATGGTTTCGCAAATCTCTCACCATTGTCATTCTTTCTTCCAGTTCATGTCATATAATGATATTTTCATTTCCGGAGTTGCACATTCTAATCTTGGCGTTTGGGTGTCCCATCAGGATGGTCAGGTTGTTTCTTGAGTGGATTCTTATGACGGACTGCAGCCTTCTATAAACTAGTTTTTATCACTCAAAGTTATCTATACATTGTAGCAGTTTGCGTCTAACCAGAAGGTACCTTGTCTACTAGGCGAGCTTGCACATTAATGTGAGCTGGATGTACTGAAAAGGCGAAGAACGGAAGAAAAGATGGGTCGACAACCTAGTTAGATCACAAGAAGCTCTTCCAATCAGTAAGGATAGTACTGGACAACAACATAAGTTTCAGTATCAAATAATATGGATAGAGAGACTAGTAGCAGAAAGTGTGAAGATTTCAAACTGTTACAATTTGTCTTCTGCGTAAAAGCTACCTTAACGCCTTCTGAATGGAAAAAAAGTTAAGTGGAATTTAGAGCCTAAATTAAAATTGCGGACAAAAATTATTCTTTATATGTATCACCAACTCGCTAAAGAAACAAAAAGTATCCTGTTTTGCACACATTGAACACCGAAAAACAGATTCGCTGGAAATTTATGGACAAGTAGACAGACAGACAAATACAGCGCAGAACTTCGTACGTAAGTACAGGTTGCCATACTACATCAGCACAGAGACGCAACTGTCAGTTCAAATACAAGAGTGATAGCGATAGTAGAAGTATTAGCAGTAATGGAGATGATTAGGGAGCGAAGATATGATTTGAGAAGTATGATTCTGTGAGATAAATTTAGAAGAAATTCAGACGGTTAGAATTTGAGAGAACACAAAGATTGGATGCATCTGCGCCATTGCAAACGATTCTGAGCCATGTCGTTCAAGGTCTCTAACCATCGGTGACTATCGTCTCGCGGACCTCAACCAGGTACCCTGCATCTACCAATATGACTCAGTCCACTTATCAGTGACTTCATGGATTTGTGCCATGTTTTGGTTTGGCAGCCCCTAACTTTCTTCCAACCTACTCCTACACCACAAAACATAGCTCGTCGTGGCAGTCGGTGGTTAGGCATACGTAACACATGTCCCAACCACCTCAACTGATGAAGTTTAACTACTTAATCTATTGATTTGCCGTCCCTACCTAGAACTCGTTTCCCAACGACAGCATTGCTTATACTGTTGTCCTAGGAATGTCCCAGCAATGCTTTGGAGACACCGATGATCAAAGACTAGTAACCTACGAAAGTCCTCTACTCTTAACGGCCATGTTTCGCATTCGTATAGTGTGACGGAGCGAACTGCTGCACAGTACACTCGTCCTTTGGTTAGCAAGCAGATATCTCGCCTACGCCATAAGTGACGCAGGTTGACAAAAGCCAATCGAGCCTTCTGTATCCGAGCTGAGATTTCGTCAGTCACCAGACCATCAGCACTGATGAGACTCCCAAGATAAGTCAAGCGGTCTACACGTTCGACAACTTCATTCCCTATCACTAGTTCCGGTGAAGTCGCAAGCCAATCCTGAAGCAACATTTTGCATTTCGAGGTAGAAAACCGCATCCCGAACATGCTTGCATTGTCGCTTAGAGTGGTCAGAAGACTCTGCATTTTGTCAGCGTCTTCACCAAGTAGGACTATGTCATCGGCATATTCTAAGTCAATAAGCGAGCCACCTGGTAAAAGGTCTACTCCTGAAAATTCAGACGAGGATAAGGTTATTTCTAGGAGCATGTCTATGATAAAATTAAACAAGAATGGAGAGAGTGGACATCCCTGACGGACACCACTTGAAGTAAAGAATTCCGATGACAGTTCGCCATAAGCTCTCACTCGACCAATGGTGTTCGAGTAGAGAACTCGTATAGGGTTAACGTACTTCTTTGGTACACCTTTCAATGACAGACACTGCCACAGAACCTCACGATCCACTGAGTCAAATGCCGCCTTTAGGTCCAAGAAAACAACTATTGTAGGACGCCTAAATGTGTGTCTGTGTTCCAGGACCTGTCGTAGTGTGAAAATGTGGTCTATACAGCCACGTCCAGGTCGGAAACTAGCCTGGCTTTCTCGAGTTTGCTCTTCACGAGCTTTCGTTAAGCGTCGAAGTACTATTGAGGCCAATATTTTAGATACTATATTAGTTAGACTTATTCCCCTGTGATTGTCACATGAAGACTTTTGTCCTTTCATATAGATTGGGACAATCAGTGATTGAGACCAGTCGGATGGGATTACGTCCAGTTCCCAGATTCTACCTAAGATCTCAGTCAACCTAGCTGATAAAACTGGACCACCATCCTTATATATCTCAGGGATCAGTCTATCAGAACCTGCAGCTCGTCCTCGCTCCAGATTTCCTAACGCTTTCTCAACTTCATTAAGACTAGGCGGACTTACGTCGACTTGCCATTCAGGATGACTGGAGATCGTGGGTAACTGAAGAGTGGCCCGTGGCCAGTTGAACTGATCCTTAAAGTATTCTGCCCATCAATCCAGTCTCCTGGATTGAGAATAAATAATAGTCCCGTCATTTTCTGAGATAGTCTCCCTTACACTAGGATTCCTAATACCAGTTTTCTTGATAAGTCGGAAATGTTGTCTAGTGTTGCCTGTCGCCGCTGCCTTTTTCCATCGCTTTGCTTTAGCCACCCACCACTGTTCACGGTCGTTGCGTAGGCTTTTTATCAGCCTGCGCCTGCGTTCTTCATCATGTTCAGAGACAGGTGGAATGAGTTTTCGA